AGATATCGATAAGCAGCAACTTTTCTCTTGCGAGAGGTGGTGTTATCGACGGAAAGAACCATTTTTCCAGCTTCTCTGGCCGTAAACGAGCTGTGAATTGCCTCTTCATCGGCTGCAATCCTTCTCTGTTTCTCCACAGCAATGGTGTAGCTGCCTTCGGCAATGGGAACAAATTCAGCACTGTATTCCAATTCCCAGCCACCCACTACTATGTCCCATGATATTGTTGCACCAGCCTGCATTGTAATCCCCCCCACCCCCAAAAAAAATAAAAAATAAAAAAATCAATTTCGTATAAGGAACCACTTAGTGTAGTCGATACAACTAAGATTTGTGCAACCATCTCGTCTAAAATCTTAAACCATTCAAAATACGAAAATCCATTTACTTGGGTTTATATCTTCGACAGAATCTTCCTACTAGATTATTACCTCAATGTCCTCTATTTGTATGTTGACTTTCTCTCCTCCTTTGACAGTAAATTCGGATGCTGATTTTGGTGAACCATTAAGGACATTACTGGGTCGACTCAGTCCACCATACTGAACAGGGACGTCCTCTGGCCTAATAAACCTGATCAGAATATACAAAATTCGATACAGTACAATCTACAGAAGAAGAAAATTCAAACAAGAAAATCCCCATATAATAAATTCATTATTCATCCAGCACATAAAACAAATAATGCTTGGTTTTAATCTTTTCTAGTGTTGTTCAATCTGACTCCAAAAAAACAGTAATTTAGAAAAAGAAAAATCATAAATGCTCAATTTCTGTTTCCAGGGAAGAAAAAGGACAGAGAAAATTAGTTTAATGGTTGTAGTAATTTACAGAAGATAAATGAAGAAGAGTTTTGCGATACTCACTTGTAAAGTGTCTCGGCAACATTTCCTTCCTTGGATATCACAAATTTGCTCTTTGTTCTTTGAGTGAGAAATGGACTAAACATTGAATACAGCACACTAAAATACCATGGCACATTGATAAAGATCTACAAAATCAAAACCATTGAATCCAAGAAAATAGTATTGAAACCAGAATCAAAATTCTATAATAAAAAAAAAAAAAAACAGTAAGAATCCTAGGTTAATTACCTTGCGGGCAACCATTTCAGGGTAATTATCTTGAAAGAGAGATAGAATGTGATTAGAGGCAACTCTGAGCTCTCTTTTGGGCATGTCTTTGAGATCAGTGACCTGGATAATGGAGTTAATCCCACCAGGTTTAAAATGCAGCAATTTAATACCTCTTTCAAGAACTTGAACTCTCCATCTCAAGAATTTCTTAAGCTTTTCATCATCTCCAAAAATCCTTTCATACATTTCTTTATCTTTGAAAACTCCATAAGCATTGTAGCAAACTGGATGTCCCTCTCTGTCATAAGCGTGCATATAAGCCACAACCCCTTCAAGCTCCTTAAACCCCAAATCTTCTTCCACAATGCCATCAGTCTCAAAATCTTTCCTCCAAGAAAGACACGTCTGCAACATATTCAGTGTATCTTGAACTTTAAAATCCCTCGCACGAAGGAATTTCAAGAGAATAACATCAGCCCTTTCATCACCTCCCAAGAGTGGAATGCCCCACATAGAATCAGGCCCATTTGAGGCAGCCATGAGCTTATCCTTAAGCTCCTGAAGAGCCTTCCTTTCAGATGCCTTGAGGTGGGAAATGAAGTATGTATCTTCTTTAAAAAAAGGGGTTCTCAGTGTGGTGGCTGCTTCCATTAAAGAAGTAACAAATTTTTTCTTCAAAGGTGATGGCTTTGGGGAAAACTCTGGAGTCTGATCTTGAAGATTAAGACTTTTTACTGAAGTAGGCGGTGTGGCTTCCATTTCTTTAGATTAAAATGAAAGCCCAGGTGGTCTAAAATTGCAGTGTGAACTAGAAGTGGAGTAAAATGTCAAGTGATCAAAGGAAAAGCAAGAAGAAAAGGAGTGAATAGGTGGAATGTTGAAATTATTGGTGTTGAGGTGACGTGATGGAGCAGTGTGTGAAGATTTTGAACGGAGATTTACGTTTAGAATTTAGGCATGTTTTTTTTTTATTTGATACCCAAGTTTTTCAACTTACATCAGACTATATCTTGGACCATTCAGAACGGTGCCTCAACTTTGGGCGGAGGTAAATCGCGGATTATGCCCAATCAAGCAAGTGTCCATGCAAACTTTATACTCTTGACCCCAAGAAAGCCCTCTTGCGCCGGATTTACATCACCAAACTGCTCTACCACGTGGTTTGGGTATTACAACACTTGGCTGCTCTGTCCGTGATTCGAACTCCCCACACTGGGGTTGCAAGCCCAGCCTTGCACTGTCTTTGCCATCTTGGTTGTGCCCCGGGGCACGAATTTAGGCATGTTTGATACGCCAAATTCATCCGGAATTTTTCTAAAATTTTGTTGATATAGGTTTTTTGAGACAAATTCAAAATATCTCTTAATCAGTCTCTATGAATCTTAATGCCAAAAAATATTTTTCGCTTTCCATTTTTTTGACCGTTTGATAAGAGAAATTTTTCACGAAAAATATTTTCATTCTTTCCTCCACACGTGTGCATTTTCCGGCTTTTTGATGAAAATTTTTTTCCACCGTTTTGGTGGGAAAAAAATTTCCAGGCTGGCTGGAAAAAAATATATATATATTTTTTTTGGCAATGGAAATAAATGTTATAACCAATGGTAAATTTTTTTTTACTTTAATGGATAATTTCCATATAAAACTAAGTCAAACGAACACTAAATTTTGATTAAAAAAATAATTTTTTAGGAAACAAATTTTTTTCCTTTTTTTTTTACTTTTTGGCAATGGAAACAAATTTTATAACCAATTGTGGAAAAAATTATCACTTTAAAAAACACCTTCCATATAAAACAAAGCCAAATGAATAGAAAATTTAAAAATTTTTCGGGTGGAAAATTATACCAATCAGACACATTTGAAATCATTTTTCCTGCAAAACATTTTTTAGACAAATCTTTTCCCTGTAAAATATTCTCTTTCCACCAATTTTCCACCCTTGCAATCAAACACACCTTTATTGTGTAAAATATTTCGTTTCATTTTTTTTTTACACATATATCATTATTTTCATGTTTCATCGTGAATATCATCATTTTCATGTATTTTCATTTAATTTTCAATAAAAAATTGTGAAATGACGAATATACTCTCATATTTAAATAAAATAAACATATATGATATGAAAAATAAAGAACTAATTGCAATTATACTCCCAATTTTTTTAAAAAAATACAAACGAATCCAAAATAAATTGTTGAATTTTTTTTTTTTAAATATCTTTCTTTCTCCCTCCTCCTCCTCTTCCACCACCGGGTTAAATCTGTGGTAACCAACATTGAGTGGTCTGATACAGCAAGAAAAATTAAACAAAACAAAGAATAATTGTTATTGGATTGACATTCGCCGTATTATTCTCAATTTTATAATCTATTTTCATTGTAGAAGAATGTCGAGCAAGAAGGAACATAAACCACAAATAAAAACAAAATGATATCCACTTGTAAAGTCACGTGTGACAATGTTTGAAGCTTCATGTATTAGAAACCAATTGATGTTCATAAAGTATACACATAATGAACAAGAACAATTGAAGAAATAGTGTGAAGTTAAATCAAGAAGCAAAATTTTTTTTAAAAAAATGAAGAAAATGGATTGAGAGATAATCTAACCAGATAAAGACGCAATTAAAGCAGAAATTGAAAGTGTAACATTCAGCACACTACTACAAACAGACGATTCACGACCAGTGACGATGATTTGGGCGGTTGGAGGGAGAGCAGCAAACAATAGAGATCCGGAATTGATTCTAAAGGGAAAACGAATAAATTGATAAAAGTGGGTTATATTTCAACTTTTCTTCAATTTATACGGGTTGTATCATGTGGTTTGGATAAGTTTTCATGAGTTTTACGGGTGCGTCGAGTAATAGGTAATCGTTTTATTTACCCAGTTATAGAGAGAAGTGAGTATTCAATACATAATTGACATGATATTTCTTTTTAAATAAGTAGAATAAGTTATATGTCAAATTATTATTGGTCAATACAATTTTTAATTATATGAATAATTTTGTCGTCATTGTGGAATTTAAAATTGCTAATGAGGGCATTTTAAATTATAGTAAAATGGACATTGATACAAAATTTGGATATTTTTACAAATGATTATGTAAAAGTGAACATGTTTTTGCAAATTCCTCATTTTCCTGAACAAACTTTATCAATTGCACCAAATGTCTCTAATATAATAATAACTTACTGTAATGATTCACCCTTGCCAATTTTCCTAACCCACTTGTAGGAAAAGTGAAATGCATAATAAAACGAAATAGATGTTTCTCTCCTTTTGGATTTCTTGGGATTGAATACTTAACACTAAGAATTAACTGAATAAGAAACAGAGGCACTTAAGATTGAACACATTAAATATATATTGAAAATATTATACATTTTCTCTCACTCTCAAATGAGTAAATAGGTTTCGAAGCGATGTTTTTTTATTATCAATCATTTTAACCGTCGAAAGGCATACTGAGTAATGTCAGACTAAACATGAATAGATAACACTAAAAAGAATGTACATGAGAAACATTTGTATATTTGTATATTCTTCTATGCACTAACGACGTTGTAGCTTCTTTCTGACTTGGAAGAGTTAATAATCTCCTGTTTGATACCCATTATTTCATCAAAATGAGTTTTACAGTAGTGAATTTTTGAAAAATGTGTGATTAAAAAGTACAAAAAAATTTGGGTTTACATGCAAATTTTTTTGAAAGAATGTTGGATTGAAAATGAGTTTTAGAATAATGAGAATCAAATGAGAGCTTAATTATTCTGCCTACTTTAGTAGGTGGGACTAAACACGAATAAGCATAGTTTTCAAAGAAAGTTATATTGGATGTTTGTTCATTGTTGTATCAAATTTTATTGAGAATTGAGATCAATTTTTCGATTTGTTTATAGGATTCTTGCAAGAGAATTTATTTAAAAACCAAATTAAAATATAAAAAGAGGAAAAGAATACTAAGATTTATGTGAAAAATTTCAAAATCGAAGAAAATCCATTGAACTAGACTGTTATTGCCTAGTTTGTCAATATTTATTTATTTTCAATTAAAAAATTATTTAATACATTGAACTTAAAATAAAATAAAATAAAAACACGGTTAAACCTTTAAATTTCGTGAGATATTTATTTATCTCATTTCCGGCAACCTCAATCCAAGGAATATTTGTTAATTAATTATCTTTTAACAACCGTGACATGAAGGATGAACAAGACATTATGAGTCCAAAGCACGGGGAATCGTGATAATTTTTTCACTTTTTGACTCTGTGGAAAAACAAGGATTAATTTACATTTAATTTCACTTTAATTATCACTCTCATGATAAAAGAAAAATATGCTGTTTCTTGATCTCACAAGATAAAGTTAAAGGACAGTGTTGTTATCGACTAGACCAGATGGGAGTGAGGAATCTCTGCTATGGAGTGGACGTCAAGCGAGGGGCATGTGTATGTGAGGGAGGAGGGAGGTGTTGGTGGGAGTGCGATTGGTGTTGGACACAAACACGAGAAAAGCGGGAGGAGTTGAGCTAGATGTAGAAGGGATTTGATTAGTTGGCAGGTGCGGAGCCAGAAAGAAACGTTAACGTGGGCTGAAATTTATATTTTTTTCCAATGAACTCGTGTCTTAAAAAAAACTCTATACCACATGAGATTTAGTTTAAAAAGTACAATATATTTTTGGACACTCATAAAAAAGTTCTGACAAACATATTTTTAATTAATAAAATTAAATATATATAGCATATTACTTATTTTGATAATAACATCTATTTCGTGGTCAAAATAAATAAATTATTAACTCACAAGTATAAATAAGTAATATATGAAAAAATATATTAGAATAAGTTTAATTACTTTTAAGTTTAGTCAAATATGTGGCATTTCATATTGTTCAAATAAATCATTTTTCTTTAATCGATAAAAATTATTTGTTATATAATAAACTAATTTGATTATAAGTGAACTCTTTAAACTTAGTTATATATGTGTGTGCAAAATAAAATATCTAATTTGGTAACGAGGTATTTCCGTATCATGAATAAATAAAATAAATATGTAATTTCTGTAAAGTCTTAAACTAAATTTGAAAAATTGAACATTGGGCTTGGGTTGAAAATGAAGTTAGTTGAACTAAAATTAATTTTTAGGTTGGGCTAAATTTTTATCCTTTTTTATTTTCACCCTGAATTTGGGCTAAGTTTTCCATTTTTATACAAGCCAATTTGCTTCTGGGCTGGGCCAGGGCTGGACTATAGCCCATCCCAACCCCCTTCATCCGCCTCTGTTAGTTGGGAAGGTGACGAGGAGGATGGGAGCATTGAATGATTTATATGTATTAAGTCTTGAAGAGTAGCAAAACATTAAGAATAAGAATAATGCTCTATAGCCCCACAAGGATTGTAACCTTGATCTAAGTGGCACGGATAATACGTTAAATGAAATGTGGAATTAAATAAGTCATTTAATTTCACTTATCATTTAATGTCACATCAACATCATCTAAATTAAGGTTACAATCACAGTGGAGTTAAATAACATTAATAAAAAATTAGGTCCCTATTTGATTCCCTTTATTTTAACTTAATTTATTCCTCATACTCATTTTTAACCATACATTCACACAATAAAATATTCTACACGTAAACCCAAAACTTTTTTTTTTTTTTTTTGGTCTTCATACACTCTCCAAAAAATACTATTCAAAACATTTTTTAAAAAATTAAAGGCCACCAAACATGGCTA